GTAAACAGTTGAACTAATTAAGCAAAACTTTTGTGAAGTCAAAGTTCCTGAAGTCAGAGGACGGGGATAGCAGAAACAGACCTTTAATGTCCTGTGAGGAGTAGCCCCACATGAAGCCCACAGTGAATTCTCATGTAAATGGTTGCACAGGAGGGCGTGGCCCCTTGAATCTATATCTAATGGCTCTTCTTCCCCATTTGTAAAAGGGCTGCTGTGCAAACACCCCCGACTGCTGTCTTAGGAGTACTAGCTAGGTCTAGGTCAAAATTACCCTGTCCACGTTTCCATTTCATTCTGCGCCTCAATTGGTGTTTGGAAAAAACACGTTATCTTCCTTTCAGGCCTTAAGTGGCAGAAGCTTCCCCAAAATATGGATTTCCACCCCCTCACCAATTCCTACCTTTCCTTCCTTCCCTCTTACCCCATCTCTTCTGCAAATCTTATCCTTTGCCATATCTTCTCAATATCTTCTTCTTTGGGATACTCCTTGTTCCAGTTCTACACTGGAACTCTCCCCCATCAGTTTTCTGGTACATTTATGGTTAACAGCAGATGATTATCATCTTGACTATACTTTACCTCTGATTTTTACACACATTCAGCTGCTCCATTTCTGACTTTTCCCTTTCCTTCTTTGTCTCCATTTCTGGACATAGATTGCCAACAATATTCCCTAAAAGCCTGCAAACTCCCATAGCTACATTGCTGACACTTCTCCACACTCTATTTCTGATAAGGACTCTATTCTATTCTCCTCCTATTATTTATTCATTCACGGGATGAGGGTGTCACTGGCTAGGCCAGCATTTATTGCCTATCCCTACTTGGCCAGAGGGCAGTTAAGAGTCAATCACATTGCTGTGGGTCTGGAGTCACATGTAGGCCAGGCCAAGTAAGGATGGCAGTACCCTTCTCTAACGGACATTAGTGAACCAGATGTTTTTCTCCAACAATTGACAATGAATTCATGGTCGTCATTAGACTCTTAATTCTAGGTTCTTTATTGAATTCAAATTCCACCATCTGCCATGGCAGGATTCAAACCGGGTCTCCAGAACATTACCTAGGTCTATGATTAACAGCCCAGTGAGAATACCACTAGGTGATCACGTCTATAACACTTAATCAGATTTTGCAGCCTGTTTGTCCCAATGCTTACGATGTGTCTTCCCTTGATCTTCAACACATACCAGTAATTTTCTCCCCATCGCCTGAATATAGTTGATAAGGCTTTCCAGCATGAATAACCTATTTCATGCACTTTTGCTCACATCCCTTCCTTTCCCTCACAGAACAGTGATAGAGTTCCTCTCATTCTCACCCTTCAGTCCTCCAGCCAAGGTATTCCTCCACCAATTCCACCGCTTTTATTCTGACACGGTGCCACCACCAAACAAATTCTTCCTTTCCCTTTCCTTTTCAGCATATCAAAGAGACTGTTGCCGCTTGTGGTCCACCCGTCAATCACTCCCTATGGCCTTTTTTCTTTCCCCAGGCACCTTTCCATGTAAAGAAAGGAAATGTAATAACTGTCCTTTCAGCTTGTCCCTTCTCACCATCCAAAGTCCCAAACACTCCTTCCAGGTGAACCAGTGACTTACTCGTACTTCTTTCAATTTAGTGCACTATATTCGCCACTCATGATGTGATCTCCTTTACATTGGGCTGATCAAATTCAGACTTCGTAACTACGTTGTGGAACATTTCCATTTAAGTATAACCCTGAACCTCCAATTGCTTGTCATTTTTATATTGCATCTTGCTCCCACTCGGACCCCTCTGTCCTCGGTCTGCTGGAGTGTTCCAGTGAAGCTCACTGTATGCATGAGGAACAGGACCTCATCATTCATCTTCAGACTCTACTGCAGTGGTTCCTGAATAGAATTGTGAAAACCTCCTCCTCCAAATAGGCAGCAAGGTCTAGAAAGCGAGCTGCCCTATGCTTGCCTTCCTCATTTTGCCATCATGGGATTTCTTTTATTCTTCTCAAGCCCATTTGAAAATGGTTGCTCACCAACTTGAACTCAGGCCGACACTTACAGAGCTGCTGCGCCATCCTGTTCGCTGACCTAGTATGATGTTGGCAGTGGGGAGACGGATTGATTACAGTGTTACAGAAGAGAGACTGATTACAGTGCATTTGGATCAGTGGCAGATTACAGAGGGAGTGATTGCAGTGTGTGAGCAATGGGAAGAAAGGCTGATTACACTGTGTTAGGGAAAGGCGGATTGCAGCATGTGTTGGGGAGAGGGATTGATTAAAGTGTATGTGGAGTTCGGGTGGAAAGGCCGATTAGAATGCATGGGTCATCGATGGCTTACACCACCATTCAAAAGCATTCCACTTACCTCATAAAACCCAGTCTGACAGTCAGAGGAGCACGGCTTCACAATCATGGAATTTAATTTTATTTCTCTTCATTTTTTGATGGAAGTGGACATCAGTGATGGGGCCAGCATTTGTTGCTCATCCATTACTTGGAGAACTCTGGTGTGATATTTGGTGTGTATCTAAACGTTGAATGCTAATATGAAATTCAGTATCACCTGCTGCTTCTTAGATAAGATTCATGAACAGGGGTGGCTCAGTAAAGGACAGTGGAGTACATCAAATATTAAAATGTTGGTTCAACTATAATTTGTATGCATTAGTAATTACATATTAAATGTTACAATGCTGCTTTATGGCTGCCTTATATTTATTGGCATCTATGTTCTTGAATAAATTCCAAACATTAAAAAGCAGTCACATTAGGAAATAATTTGGGAAATATTGGTCCACAGCCTTTTGGACTCAATGCTGAATGCAGCAATTTGAGATCATAATCTCTGCCTCGAACTTGTGCCATTTTTTGGTGGCTTGTTTCCTGCCATTTCTCTTTTTATTCTTTCACTTTGCTGCTATCCAGTCATTTGCACCTCATCTGGACACATCTTTTTGCTTTAAATTTGATTATTAACCCTAAACCTTTTGTCATTTAATCTCTCCTGTGTTTTTACCCCATCACAGATCTATCATTTCTTTCTTTGTAGCTATTCCCTTTCTAATTCCTGAAAAGCTATTGCAATTCTATTTCTCTCAGCTCCGATGAAGGGACACCATCAACTTCAAATTGTAACATTGTTTTTCTTTACAAATGCTGCCTGGCCCACTGTGTATTTCCAGCACTTTGTTTTTTTTGGAGTGAGAAATGTTCGAATAGAACACTTCTACAGACAAAATGAAGCCTTGCAAAATTTTTTTTGTGTCTGATTTGAATGTATTATCATAACGGAGTGCTGGGGAACAAAGGAAATATAATTGATATATTATTAAAAGAAAATATGGCGTGTAGTTAGAAATGGAGGGAAATTGTTTTGAAATTGAAAAGGTATTTAAAAATAAACTGAAATTACACATTACAATATTTCTATACACTGACAAATTTATGAAAAAAAGGCAATGGAAGTTAAAATAAATTAACAATACTCCAGAAAGTGGCAATATTAGGGTACGTTTCTACATATGTTGTGTATGTGAAGGATTTTCATACCATAACTTGAATGAAGTATTTTGATTTGTGTTGTTTTTTATACCTGGAAAGAACCAGAAGGTGGAGGAGACATTGTATTTCTCCAAGTGTTGGTTTATGTTCTAAGGAAAGGCTGCTGATCATCAGACAGTGGGTACAACTAGAAACGAGAGGTGGGACACAGGGAGAGATCTCACAGTTAATGCTCTGCACGTTAATATTCATTCAACAGGAGCATTGAGTAGAATATTGGACTTGCAACCAAAGCTAAGTGAAGGACTTCCATTTCACAAATTACTCATCGGACATGCTTGAGATTCAAATTGCACTGGTATATGAAGATCTGTGCCGAGCAAAAACTACATCACGAAATCTTTCCCTTTGTCCTCAGATGGTTTGTCATAGAGTCATAGAGACTCATAGTCAACTCATCCATGCCAACCAGATATCCTAAATAAATCTAGTCCCATTTGCCAACATTTGGCCTATATCCTTCTAAACCCTTCCTATTCATATACCTGTCCAAGTGTCTTTTAAATATTGTAATTGTACCCATCTCTACCACTTCCTCTTCCAGCTCATTCCATATACACACCACCCTCTGCATGAAAAAGTCACCCCTTAGGTGCCTTTTAAATATTTCTCCCCTCAACTTAAACCTATGCCCTCTAATTTTGGGCTCCGCTGTCCTTGGGAAAAGACCTTGTATGTTCACCCTATCCATGGCCCTCATGATTTTATAAACTTTTACAAGGTCACCTCTCAGCCTCTGATGCTCCAGGGAAAATAGTCCCAGCCTATTCAGCCTCTCCCTATCACTCGAACACTCCAACTGTGCAAATCTCTTCTGAACCCTTTCAAGTTTCACAGCATCCTTCCAACAGCAGGGAGACCAGAATTGAATGCAGTATTCCAAGAGTGCCCTAATCAACGTCCTGTGCAGTTGCAACATGACTCCCCAACTCCTATACTCGGTGCATTGATTAATGAAGGCAAGCATACCAAACACCTTCTTCACTAGTTCTGAGGAAGGGTCACCGGACCGGAAACGTTAACTCTGTTTTTTCCTTCACAGATGCTGCCAGACCTGCTAAGCTTTTCCAGCAACTTTGTTTTTGTACCTTCTTCATTATCCTGTCTACTTGTGACTCAACTTTCAAAAAGCTATGAACATGCACTCCAAGGTCTCTTTGTTAGCAACATACCGCAGGACCCAGGATTCGTGAGTTATCATGAAGTGGCCTGGTCTTTAACTGCACAAGGATGTGAAACCTGAAAGTGAATATTACAATGAGCATCTGGCTATCAGACAGTCAGGGACAATTTAGTGAACCCAATACCTACAGTCCACTGGTATCAGCAGTCACGTGTGATATTATTAGTTGGTACTGGAGTAATTTGACACTTGTGCAGCAGTTACTTACAAATAAATGACAATGAGCAGTACTACAGTGGTAATAGAAAAGAACACAAAATCAATTCAGGTACCTTTTGTTGCAGGAATGGGTTCCACGGGTTTTATTGTTGGTTCTTCAATTATTATTGTTGGAACTGCCAGTGTGGTCAGTGGTATTATCATCTGATCCAGTAAATCTGGCAGAGACTGGAAATCATTGACACTGAAGATCAAACTTGGGTCAATTGCCATCTCTTCTAGCTGGGCTGGGTCTGTGTGCTTGACTCCAACAGCGAAGGTCATTACTGCAGCTCGCTTCAATGCATCTGATGATGCTTCCACATCATCATCGGACCTTCCACTAGTAACAAGCACCAAAAACTGAGGAATGTTTTCTTTTATTCGACTTCCTGCAGCCCTGGAAAAAAAATATTTACTGGCAAAATCCAATGCTGAACCGGTGTTGACCGTTGTCCCACCTCGCAACATGAGGGTCCTGATATGAGATAGAAGTTCAGCTTCTGAAGAGTAAGTGTTTAAATAGAATTCAGCTTCAGTATCATCGCTGTACTGTGCCAGACCTACTCGCACCTGGTCACTTCCAATGGCCAAGTTCCGAACTATTCTTGTGATGAAGTCCTTGACAAAAGGTAAATTGGTGTTTCCAACATTGTCTGATCCATCGATAAGGAAGACAATGTCTCTCTCACTCATTTCCCTTCGTACAGCTGGAAAAAAAATAGACACCAAGTCAGACAAAATCCCTAAAGATTAAATAAAACCTGGTAAAGCTGTTATTGAGTCATAGAGTCATACAGCATGGAAACAGATCCTTTGGTCTGACTGGTCCATGCCGACCATGTTCCTAAACTAAACTAGTTCCACCTGCCTACACTTGGCCCATATCCCTCCAAACGTTTCCTATTCACAAACTTATCCAAATGACTTTTAAATGTTGTAACCATATCTGACATCCATCACTTTCTGTGGCAGTTCATTCCGTACACTAACCACCCTCTGTTCCAGACCCGAAACGTCAGCTTTCCTGCTGCTCTGATGCTGCCTGGCCTGCTATGTTCATCCAGCTCCACACCTTGTTCTCTCTGTAAAAAAGTTGCCCTTATGTCCTTTGCAAATCTTTTGCTTCTCTCCTTAAAAAAATACCCTCTAATTTTGAACTCCCCCACCTAGGGAAAAGACCCTTGTCACTCACCTTATCCATGCCCCTCTTGATTTCATAAACATCAATAAGATCACCCCTCAACCTCCTATGTTCCAGTGAAAAAAGTCCCAGCCTTTCCAGTCTATTTTGATATGTCAAACCCTCCATTCCCGGCAACAACTTGTTAAATATTTTCTGAACCCAGTCCAGTTTAATAATATCTTCCCTATAACAGGGTGGCCAGAACTGCACACAGTACTCCAGAAGAGGCCTCCAATGTCCTGTACAATCTCAACATGACGTACCAACGTCAAGTGTGCTAAATACCCTCTTAACCACCCGATCAATACATGATCTAACAAAGTTTGCTGAATTCTACAACAAACAGAACTTCAATAATTGATGTTTGCTGTAGGCTTCTCTAAACTAAATCCATTAATCACAAAGAGAATGTGCTTTAAGTTACAGACCTGAGAAAAAGGAATTTGAAAAGGAAACCATGATTGATCCCATAGTGATTGTTTTCTGGCTCTGGCAGTGTTGGTATTAAATAGGCACCATGCAAAATGGTATTTTGGTGTAAGTTACCTTAGATAGTTGAACTGCAATGCAGAATGATGCCAACTGTGTGAATTCAAATCCTGTCCTGACTGCAGTTACCAAGAAGGTCCCTCCATTTCAATCTTTCCCCTTAAGCAAGGTGTGGTAACCCCCATGTTGAGCAAACGCCAGTTGTCTCTCTCTAATGAGAGCTGACGCTTTGTGACTTTGCTTTCTAAGGTGACAGCGTGACACTTGCAAGTCTTAAGGGTTTTCTGCCTCTCAGGCACAGCTATCCTTAATTTTTCCATTCTAATGATAATTTAATTCATTGTTTGGTTATGGGCAAGAGAGAAAATGGCTGGGGGCTGCAAGGAAAAATAATTTCATGCAACAAGTGGTCATGATCCTGAACTCACAGCCCATTAGAGTGACGGAAGTGAATGATTACTGAAGGAACATGATGGAGAAAATCTTGCAGTGATACACAGGCAGAAAAGGAAAATTGTACTGACTTGATTGTCCCATCAGGTCCCAGCAAAGACTCAACAATGCCAAATGGCTTCCTCTTTGCCTCAAGTGAGACAATGACAATTTTATCTTTAAACAGGGTGAGTTTTCTTGTCAGAAACCTTCAGCCTTCAAACATGAGAAAGTATGCAGGATCATCCAGTGATCAGGCAGCTGATTGGTTGTCATCGGGCTTTCTGCCAGAAACAGGACTCCTGACCAAGAGCTGCAGACAAGTCAGACATCAGTAACTCCAGTCCCCGCCAGAGATGTGACAGCAGCGATGACTGTTGCCGAGACAATATGGCCCCAGGCTCCCAGAATGAAGGATTGTCCTCAGAAAAGATAATAGCTGTTTGGTGGAGTCTTATGGAGTGGAGATCATGAGGAGAGGATGGAACAGTAGGATCAGGCAAGAGTGGACTTTCAGTTGGTTTTGGACCAGTCCCTCCACCATGCCCAGATTAATGCAGACCAACCTATTTAAAACCGATAGCGCAGTCACATTGGTTAATGTCAAGTAGGTGAATCTTCCTCAAGCCTCCTAGAGCTGGATCTCAAGCATTTCAAACTGAACGACACCCCTAAAGTAGACATTAGTTGATCCTTTAAGGACTTCAATTGGCAATGGGGTAGGAAGGTGGAAGGAGGGTTTCCCATCAGGAAGGTAATTTGTGCAGTTACAAAGGTTGTGCTATTTCTGGGCCCAGAGCATTCAGTTTATTAACTTTATGATCATGGGAAAGATTTAGAAATCGATTAAGCGAAGTGTCAAATCCAAGCCAGAACTGAACAGTTACATCTCATCCCCATTTACTAAAAGGCAGAGATTACATATTTTTATGCTATTCATTTCTATCAGAATCAGCCGCATCATAGCATGTTCGAGTATGTTGTGCATGACTGTCTTACAATGCTGACAGCGGCTATGGAGTAAATATTTAGAATTTAGTCAATTAAATAACTCAGTGGTAAAATGTACATATTGTGCAATCTCAGTCTTGGTGAAGTCACTCTTACAATATCAAAAGCAATCTTTTATATTCTCTTGCATAATTTTGACAAAACCTTACTATACTTAGCAAACAATTCTACCTTCAGTAGGAGGGATTGGTTCCTCAATCACAGACACTGCTGTAACTTTAGTCAGGAACTCTTCTTGAATGGTTTGCAATTCGTTGAAGTCTCCCAGTTTCAAAACAGAGTCGGGATTAGACACTATCCGTTGTAGTTCCGCTGTGTCTGCATTCTTGGCTCCAATAGCAAAGGGCACGATACCAGCATGTTTCATTGTAGCTGCTGCCTGTCCAACATCGTCTCTGGATTTCCCAGCAGTGATGAGGACCAGGATTTGTGAAGCTCCAGTGCCTCCTCTGCTCCCTGCAGATGGGTTGAAGACATTCCTTGTTACATAGTCCAGTGCAGCACCAGTGTTGAGGGGTCTCCCTGTTTTCAATCTCATCTTTTTAATTGCATCTAAAACTGCATCTAGAGTTGAATGAGTGTTGAGGCCAAATTCAAGTCTTGGGTTAGAACTGTATTGTACCACAGCCACTTGATCTCTGTCAGATCCAATGTCAAACTCCTGGATTATGTTATTAAGAAAACTACGAACTTGAATAAACGATCTTCCCATCCCAGGAGAGCCATCAATTAGGAAGACGATGTCTCTCTTCCTTGATGCAGAAACTGTAAAAAGCATAAATGATAAAAAGTTAGCAATAAATTTGTTTAAAATCATATAGAGAATTTAGAAATCCGTCAAGTATTATTTGTCTTTTATTCTCCATTCCTACTCAGTGTCAGCAATGATTCTACACCATTATTTGTCACAGCAGCTAAAGCTGATGCTACAATGTTAAATTGCCAAATTGAGTCATACCAGAAACAACGTAGCACTATAGACACATGATTAAGACATGGACTAAAAACATTTAATCTTATCTCATGGTGACAATTTGAACCACAGTCAGAGATGCTTTTAGTCCATCTGTCTCAGCTGGAATTACAACCCATCCTTAAGGTACATCTAGAAATATTTTCTTAACAAACATTTTCTAATGTGATCGTATGACATAAATTTAATTTTCAGTGCCTCAACAATGTCAATCTGCCTGTGTGAGGCTATTTCTTCAGTTGCCCACGTTCCATCCTCTGAGCTTCCTTGCTGTATTGGCCCCAGGCTGACTGTTTAAGCTCCAGCTGCTGATTTAATGTTCTGTCTGGCAGCTGACCTCAATCAGTCTACCTAGCATCCCCTTCCCCTCCACCATCCTCGCACTTCTGAGAGCCTGTTGACCTGGCCATGCTTCTGATCTGGCATAGTCATTGCACTCCTCTTCCTATTGTATCTGTCCACTCTCCTGCTCTTGATGACGTGTGTGGTACCATAGTGATTTGTGCTTGGGCTCCAGCTATTCACATATACATCAACAATTTGAATAACGGAATCAAATGTAATGTTCCCGACTTTACAAAACTAGGTGGCATTGTGAGTGACAACGAAGATGTAAAATGTCTTCTAGGTCTCTTTGGAGAAGTTAACTGAGTGAAGAAATGCATGGCAGAGCTGCATAATGTGCTTACAGATGAAGCTGACCAATTCAGGAGGGAAATCAGAATGGTAGGGTATTATGGCAATAGAAAGTCAGGCATTTTATAGTCATAGAGTCATACAACACAGAAACAGAGCCTTCAGTCTAACCAATCCATGCCAACCATAATCCCAAGCTAAACTTGTCCCACCTGCCCTGCGTTTGGTCATATCCCTCCAAGCATTTCTTATTCATATACTTATCTGTTAATGTCTTTTAAACATTGTAACTGTACCTGCATCCATTACTTCCTCTGGCAGTTCATTCCACACACAAACCACACTGCATAAAAAAATTGCCTCTCGTGCCCTTTTTAAATCTTTCTCCTCTCACCTTAAAAACATGCCCCCTAATCTTGAAATCCCCCACCCTAGGCAAAGGACACCTGCCATTTACCTTATCTTTACCCCTCATGATTTTTTAAACCTCTATTAGGTCATCCCTCAACCCCCTACGCTCCAGTGAATAAAGACCCAGCCTATCCAGGCTCTCCTTACAACTCAAACCATGCATTCCTGTCAACATCCTGGTAAATCTTTTCTGAACCCTCTCTAGCTTAATAATTTCCATCCTATAACAGGACTGGTCACGTTACTCCAGAAGGAATGCACAAAGTGACTTGGATCTCCTTGTACAAAAGAGTTACTGAAAGCAAGAATGTAGGCATATCAAGCAGTGAGAAAGACAAATTGTATGTTGGCCTTCCTGTAGCTAAATAGGGCTTTGGTGAAACAATTCCTGATTTATTATATGCAGTTTTTGTTACCTCACCTAAGAAAAGATATACTTAGCACAGATGGAGCGCAGCGAATGTTCACCAGACTGATTCCTTGATGTCAAGCTTGATGTACATGGGGAAATTGATCAATTGGATCTGTTCTTACTGGAGTTTAGAAGAATTAAAGGGTCTTCATTGAAACATATAAAATTCTGTCAAGGCTGGACAGAATGGATACACCGTTGATGTTTCCCCTGGCATGTAGTCCAGAGAAAGATGCACATTCTAGGGTTGCACAATGGACTATTTTGCATTGGGATGATGAGAAATTTGTTGATGATGAGAAACATAAAGAACTGTTTCTCCAACTGACTCCCTATGACCTAAGCTCTTTTTACTGATTGTGGTACAGAGGCAAAGTTCTAAATCTCTAAATCAGAAGGCTGGGATCTCAAGACCTACTCCAAAACTAGCATACACGGTCTTTCAGTTGAGACTGTAAATAAGCATTACTTTCCTCTCAGGTGGATGGGATCCCATTTCAGTGTTTGGAAAAGAGCAGGGGAATTTTCCCAAGTCATATTCAGTATTTATCTCTGAATCAGTACTAGGAAGATAGATCATCTTGACAGCTTTCTTGTGCTGAAAGTTGACAACTGACTTTCAACACATTACGGCAGTGTGTACATTTCAAAGCATCTGTGAAGTTTATAAGGATATTCTACAGACATGAAAAGAGCTATCAAGTTATTTTTGTCTCACTGAATTGATGAATTAGATAATATTGGGAATTCAAATCTACCACATGTGTGTGGCTTTATCTTAAGAATAATTGTTAAGTTTTACCTCATGTGTTACCTTATAGCTGTCTGGATTGAACTCTATTTGCCATTTGCTGCCCACTTGAATAGTCCATTTATATCTTACTGCTGTATACAGCATTCTCTTCATTATCAAAACATGGTGAATGTTGTATGATCAGCAAACTTCTTCATCATACCTTCTACATTTAAGTGTAATTGAAAGCTGAGGTACAAAGCCTTTGAATCAAATAACTGCCAATAGTCACAAAATGCATCATTGACCACTTTGTTTCTATGTGCTGATCTACTTGCCCTTGAATCCCATCTGTTTTCACTTAAATGGCTAATCTGCCACATGGGGCCATGGCAAAGGCTTTGCTAAAATTCGTGCAGACTATAAAATATGTGTTACCCCCACTGAATCTCCTTGTTACCTCTTAAAAACTTCAATCAAGGTGGTCAAACATGAATTTCTTTTAATAAATCTGTATTGACTGTACTTGATCAATCCATGCTTTTATAAATTGAAATTAATACTATCCCTTACAATAATTTGTTCATCCCCGAGGTTAGGCTTAATAGCTAGTCATTATTCAGTCCATTTCCTTCTCCCTTTCCAAGTAATGGTACCTTGTCAGTCCTCCAGCCCTCTGGCACTAGGTCTGCAGCCAGAGAACATTGAAAAGTATTGGTTGAAGCCTCTTCTGTTTCCCAGCTTATTCCTCTTAACAGCCCAGGGAATCTATCATTTGGGGCCAGTGATTTATTTACTTTCAAAGTTGCTAAATCCCATAATATTTCCTGTCTCAAAATGTTAATCCCACCTAATGTTTCATACTGCTGCTACTTAAGTACAATTTATGCATTGCCCATCTATATTTCTGCTCTGAAACACCTCAGAACAATTCCTACATTTGAAATACTCCAGAAATACAAATTGTTATTACTGATGATTAAAATGATGTGCTTGCCCATACAATACCCTTTAAATCTGGGCAGTCTCAGGAGAGACAGAATTTCATCTTTCCTTGACTAAGTGCTTAGACAAATCTCAGTTTCAGAATTATCACTGTACAGTACCAACCCAACTCGCACTTTGTCACTTCCAATGCCCGCGCTCTCAATTATTCTTTTGATAAAGTCACACACGTGGTAGATTTGAATTCCCAATATTATCTGATTCATCAAACAGAAACACAATATCTCTCCTGCTCTCAGCTTCAGATGTAAGTAGAAAGAAATGCACATATAAAGACACACTGGGTAAGCGAAAATTCATAGAAATTTCATAAAAATATTTCCACCTCTATTGGTAGTTGTTCCAATGATAAGAATGTATGTCAAACATCTGTGATGCATAATTTTCTAATGCATGCTGCAACTGGGCTCCTATTACACCTCCAACTGTACAGTAAATAAGTTTGGGGAGTTACAGGGAGATTGCAAATAGAAATATGATGTTGTGGTGATAACAGAAACCTGGCTTGAGGAAGTACAGGGCTAGGTGTTAAATATTCCTGGATACAAGGCGTTCAGAAAAGATCAAGAGGAAAGGAGGAGGGGTAGCTGCATTGGATAAAGAGGGCATTGCATTGCTGGAGAAAGAGAATGTCCCAGAGTTTTCAAGGACAGAATCAATTTGGCTAGAGCTAAGGAACAAAAAGATGCAATTACATTGCTCAGTGTAGTCTATAGTCCAGAGGTTTTCAACAACTGTATGGTAGCACACTGGTGGGCTGCAGCAGGTGACAAGAGTGCCATGAAATTCTTGGGAAGCAAGCCTGTTTTCCCCATGTGCACGGAGATTTGGCAATACACATGCATGGTCATCTGTCCCCATGCATGGATGGTGGGAAATCCACTTGTTATGCAGCCGTCTTGCCCATACACAGGCCCAAACGTTCATTCTGAGCGTGCACACAATGACCAAAGACTATATCTTCAGGATGCAAAGAAACTGCACACATCCAGTCAAGAGGCAAGCAATTATTGAATGACTTTTGAATGCAACATAAAGGGGACATAAAGGGGAAGTAAAAAATAAAGGACAGCAAAATAAAGGGGAATTCAAAAGTCTTCTATAGGCTTAAATAGTAAAAGAGTGGAAAACAAAGAGAAGACTGATTAGGGACCAAAAAATAAATTTACAGACAAAGGCAGGTGTACTGGTTAAGGTATTAAATGAATGCATTGTCAATCCATGGTGATAGAGGAAGAAATTCTGTCACTCGAAGGGTTCAAAATTGTTAAAGAAATGTTGGACTGTGGTTGGTTCACTCACTGAGCTGGTTCGTTAGTTTGCAGACGTTTCATTACCCTGCTGGGTAATATCATCAGTGCAGCCTCCAATGAGGCGTTGTTGTATTTTCCCACTTGCTATTTAAACTCTGGGGTCCATTGGACCAACACTCACTCGTCTCCACACATACAGACAAGGAGGACCATCAGTTCAATTGGGACAATGTCAGGATCCTAGGACAAGCTAAGCAGAGACAGGCATGGGAATTCTTGGAGGCCTAGTTCTCCACCAAGAAGACCATCAATAAACACATAGAATTAGACCCTATATACACACCACTGCAAAGAAAAACCAGAAATGAGGCAATCAGCTCCAACAGACCCCAGAGGTTAAATAGCAAGTGGGGAAATAGAACAACGCTTCATCGGAGTCTGCACTGATGATGTTACCCAGCAGGTTAATGAAACATCTGCAAACTAATGAACCAGCTCGGCGAACGAATCATCCACAGCATCCACAACCCGAACTACAAATTTACTCAAGAATGTTAAACGTTGGACTGTTAGTACCTAAAGTTGACAAGGCACCAGGACTCAATGAAATGCATCCAGTGATATTGAAGAAAATGAGTGAAAGTTGCAAGAACACTAGCCATAATTTTTCAGTCCTCCCTACACACAGGAAGGTGTCAGACAACTGGAGAATTGCAAATACCCCAGCCTTGTTCAAAAATGTTAGGATAAGTCGAGCAATTACAGATCAGTCAGTGTGCCTTCAGTAGTTGGAAAGCTTCTAGAAACTATTATTCAGGATAGAATTAATAATCACATGGAATAAAGGTGGTTTGATATGAGGAGTCAGCGGGGAATTCCAAAAGGGAAATCATGTTCATCTAACTTATTGGATTTTTTTAACGAGTTAACAGAGAGGGTCAGTGATGGTAGTTGATGTGATGTACATAAACTTCGAGAAAGCGTTTGATACAGAGCTACACAACAGACTTGTAAGAAAAGTTATAACTCGTGGAATAAAAAGGACTGTTGTAACATTATACAAAATTGGCTGAGTGGTAGGAAACTGAAAGTGGTGATCAATGGATATTTTTCAGACTTGAAGAAGGTTTACGGTGGAGTTCCCCGGGTGTTGATACTGGGATCTTGTTTTTCTGATGTATGTTAATGATCTAGATCTTGGTATGCAGGAGACAATGTCAAAGTTTGCAGATGATATAAAACTTGGGAGTGTTATAAAATGTGAGGGGGACAGGGTAAAACTTCAAAGGGACATAAGAAAAAATGCTTGAGAATGCAGATAGGTGGCAGATGAATTTCAATGTGGAGAAGTATAACGTGATGCATTTTGGTAGGAAGAACATGGGCAAGCAATATAAAACAAAGGGTGAAATTCAAAAGAAAGGGGAGGTCCGGGAAGACCAGGATGTATATGCAAACAGATCAATGAATGTGTCTAGACAGGTGAAAGAAGGAATTAATAAAACATACAGTATTCTGGACATTATTAGTTGATGTATGGAGTACAAGAGCAAGGAGGCGGTTTTGAATTTATATAAGATTCTAGTCATACCTTAGCTGAATTATTATGGACGGTTCTAAGTGTCATGATATAGGAAGGATATGAATGCATTGGAGAGTTTGAAGAAGAAATTTGCAAGACAGGATCTAGGAATGAGAACCTTTGGTTATGAGGATGGATTGATGTTTTGACTGTTCTCTTTGGAGAAAAGAAGGCAGAGTCCAACAGAACTTTCCAAAATGATGAGGGACTGGATGCAATAGATACGGCAAGAATATTTCTGGTCGTAAAAGGATAAAGAATGAAAGAGTGTAGGTTTAAAGTGATTTACAGAAGGAAAAATATTTTCACATGAGGAGTGTGCGGCTCTGGTATAAACTGCCTTGCAGTAGGGTGGAGGCAGATTTAACTGAGACATTCAAAAGGGGAATGGACGACTATTTGAATAGAAATAATGTGCAAGAGTATGGGAAAATGTAGGAGAATGTCACTAAGTCACAACACTGATATTGTGAGTTGGTCTAGACACAATGGTCCAGATGGTTTCACCCATTCTGTGACACAGGATGGTATCCAGTGGCATGTCAAGAAGACCATCCCTGACCCCAGCCTATCACTTGATGCCAGCACCACATTGAATTGGCCCTTAGGCAAGTCATGGAATCATAAATATCACAGAACTCCGACAATGTAGAAGCAGGCCATTTGGCCCATCAGGTCCACACCAACCCTCTGAAGAGCATCCCACCCAGACTTACCCTCAATCGCCGTAATCCTGCATCCACCATAGCCAACCCTCCCGACCTACTCATGCCTGGACACTATGGGCAACTTAGCATGGCCAATCCACCTGACATGCACATCTTTTGACTGTGGGACGAAACTGGAGAATCCAGAGAAAACCCATGCAGACATGAGGAGAATGTGCAAATTCTACGCACGCAGTGGAATCGAACCTAGGTCCCGAACACTGTGAGGCAGCAGCGCTAACCACTGAGCCATCATGTTGCCCCACATGCACTGCCCAATAACCCAATTAATTACCACAGCAACAAATCTGAGCCTCCCACCCTGTATATCTGCCAATCCAATTATTAGGAAGGATAATCTTCCAGCACATATACATTTACTAATGATTACTAAGAACTACCTCAGTTAATCATTCGGGGATAGTCCTTTATAAGTATCTTACAACTTGAATTTCATAAGACGTAAAAGGAAATATTCAGGATATCAATCTATTTTCACCTTTTTTTTCAACCCTGACATATGCAACTAGCCCTCCCAACTGCATGCCGCTCCAGCAGCAGAGAACTAGCGTTTATATCCACAGAATTTTACAGAGATATTAAACTAAATTCAAAATGCAAAATCCAGATGCAGAGGAAGGCACAGCCAAAGCAGGTAGTAAAATATTAACGATCTGAACACTGACCCTAGCCCACCTTTGACCTATCTGATTCTGGTAAAAGGGCTGGGCACCCAACCTGCACCCAAGAGGCAAGTTAACAACTTAAATACTTTACAAAGGACATCATTCTCTGATTTAAGCTGATTTGCAGTTCTTGCAACCGGTGACATAACTGGTTCTACTTGACCCTCAAAGTTTCCGGCCACTTGTTCGCCCATAAGAACTATAAACTGACCCCACACCAACTCACCGCCCCCGCCCTGTCAAACAAAATATCCAATCTTACAATTCAACTCCAGGACAGGGCAGCAGGGCAGCTCAGACACCACGGGATCAGCGACAACCTTCTCTCACAGGGATCGGACCCCTTGCCCAGCTTGTAGATCAAATCTACCTACACCTGTGGCCTCTCCCAGATTACTTAGAAAAACCCCATGCCTAACTGCAGGCTTGTTAGGGATGGTGAAAGCATATGGCAAAAGATAGAAATGCCACAGCATGCAGGCAAACCCAGAGTCAAACATTCCTGTCTGAAGCCCTTTCCTGCATCCATACAACCCACCCTTGAAAACGTTTAGACTATCGATCTGACTTTGGGCTTCCAATGGGGAACCAGATCAGCTGGATGATTATGGATGGGTCAAATTGTCCATGATTAAGTATCTACTCCAAGTGAAATGAAAATCAGGAAAAGTGCATGACTGAATTTTTGCTATCTACTCTGATATGCAAGGTTTCCAACCAGAAGTGTAAGTTGAAAACTGCCCCTTATATCTATCCTGTCAACATCTGCTGTTTTCATAGAGGTCTTTATCAATTTTCATTTGAAATAATATTACTAGCATTTTTTGTCAATATCCATGACTACACTTTCTAATCTATTATCATTTAAAATCAAACAGATGTCTTACTGGTTTTGTGCACACTTGTGCAAGTAAATTAGACAGACTTTTACCTTCAGTAGGAGGGATTGGTCCATCAACTACAATCATTGCTCTAACTTGAGACAAAAACTCTTGTTGAATAGTTTTCAATTCATGGAAGTCTCCCAGTTTCAAAACAGATTCCGGATTAGACACTATCTGTTGTAGTTCCGCTGTGTCTGCATTCTTGGCTCCAATAGCAATGGGCACAATACCAGCCTGTTTCATTGTATCTGCTGCCTGACTAACATCGTCGCTGGATTTCCCAGCAGTGATGAGCACCAGGATTTGTGAAGCTCCAGCAATTCCTCTGCTCCCTGCGGATGGACTGAAGACATTCATTGTTACATAGTCCAGTGCAGCACCAGTGTTGAGGGGTCTCCCTGTTTTCAGTCTCAGCTTTTTAATTGCAATCAAAATCTCACTTTTTGATGAATGAGTATTGAGGCCAAATTCAAGTCTTGGGTTAGAACTGTATTGTACCAATGCCACTTGATCTCTGTCAGGCCCAATATCGAGCTCCTGGATTATGTTATTAAGAAAATTACGAACATGAAGAAATGACCTTCCCATCCCAGGAGAGCCATCGATTAGGAAGACAATGTCTCTCTTCTTGGCTGCAGAAATTCAACATTAAATACGTTACAATAAGATAAGGTGCTCATTAAGAAAATTATTTTAAACATTTTGAAGAACAGTAGACTCTGAATGGATAAATTCAACTTATGCTTATTTATAAACATTTTCATTCACTAAGGTTTTCGAGTAGATTTGTAGCTCGGGTTGTGGATGTTGTGGTTGGTTGGCTCGCCAGGCTGGTTCATTGTTTCGCAGACGTTTCAATACCCTGCTGGGTAACATCATCAGTGCGGCCTCCAGTGAAGCGCTGTTGTGTTTTCCCACCTGGTATTTAAACTCTGGTGTCCATTGAGTTTGATTACTCACTTCTTGTTTTCCTTTGCAGTGGCATATATATAGGATCTTTCTCTATGTGTTTGTTGATGGCCTTCTTAGTGGAGAACCGGGCCTCTAGGGATTCTTGTGCTTATCTATGTTTCATCTGTTCTAGGATCCTGGTGTTGTCCCAATCGAACTGGTGGTTTTCCTTATCCATGTGGATGGAGCTGAGTGAGTATTGGTCGTGTCTTTTTGATGCTAGCTGGTGTTCATGTACTCCTGTGGCCAATTTTCTTCCTGTCTGTCCAACGTAATGTCTGTCACATTCTTTGCAAGGAATTTTGTATATAACGTTGGTTCTGTCCATAGTGGGTAAGGGGTCTTGGTTCGGGTTAGCAGTTGGCATTGGGTTGATGTGGGTTTGTGTGCTACTCTGATGCCCAGTGGTCGTAGGAGCCAACCCAATGCCAACTGCTAACCCAAACCAAAGACCCCTTACTCACGATGGACAGAACCAATGTTATATACAAAATTCCTTGCAAAGACTGTGACAGACATTATATTGGACAGACAGAAAGAAAATTGGCCACAAGGGCAGCACGGTGGCTCAGTGGTTAGCACTGCTGCCCCACAGTGCCAGGGACCCGGGTTCAATTCCACCCTCGGGTGACTGTCTGTGTGGAGTTTGCACATTCTCCCCGTGTCTGCGTGGGTTTCCTCCAGGTGCTCTGGTTTCCTCCCACAGTCCAAAGATGTGCAGGTTAGGTAGATTGGCCATGCTAAATTGCCTGTAGTGTTCAGGGATGTTTAGATTAGATGGGGTATAGGGGTATAGGGGGATGGGTCTGGGTGGGATGCTCTTTGTGTCGGTGTGGATTTGTTGGGCCGAAGGGCCTGTTTCCACACTGTAGGGATTCTATGATTGAAGGGTACACGAACACCAATTAGCAACAAAAAGGCACGACCAATACTCACTCATGTCCATCCACATGGATAAGGAAAACCACCAGTTCAATTGTGACAACACTAGGATCCTGGGACAGACCAAACAAAGACAAGCATGGGAATTCCTAGAGGTCTGCTTCTCCACTAAGAAGGCCATCAATAAACACATAGAGATAGACCCTGTATATACGCCACTGCAAAGGAAAGCCAGAAGTGAGTAATCAAACTCAATGAACACCAGAGTTTAAATACCAGGTGGGAAAACACAACAGCCCTTCATCAGAGGCTGCACTGATGATGTTACCCAGCAGGGTAATGAAACGTCTGCGGAACAACGAACCAGCTCAGCGAGCCAACCAACCACAACATTTTCATTCAGTTTATATAATAGCATTTTCACCTCCACCACTGTAGCTTTGGAGAACAGAGAGCATCACTTGCAGAGTTTAACAGTTGAAAATTTAACATAAGTGAAAATTTGCTGGGGAGGGGAAAGTAAAGCATTGCTTTCCGTCACCAAAAACTTCCAAGAAGATATTTCATTTCATTTATGAAGATCTTAAAGTAGATCAAGCAATTAGCTACAAAAACTAAGATCTACAAAACAAGTTGGTTATATACCTAAGCTGATTATAACAGGGTTATATAAGAATGGCAATGCAACAATTGTTTTGCAACTCCAGCAAGTGCGAACTTCTGGAGAAATATCTTCATTCAACATATCCTAGTCTTTATAATTCTCTCTCTTGGAGAGCTTTAGCTGCTTAGTCATTAAGTAAACTCAAAACAAATATCAATAGATTTTTGGGTGTAAAGTGATTCAAGAGATATGGGAATGGTGTTGGAAGGTAGAGTTGGGAGTGAATGGTTAGCTATAATCTTATTAAATGTCAATTCAAACGCAAAGACTTAAATTTATGTAATCCTGCATCCATTTCTTATATTTATATACTTGCAGTCTCTACAGTGTTTGACCTTATTTCATCAAAACATCTCTGCTGTAACTGCTCAACCACAGCGTCTCCTCCACTGTCAATCATATTGTCTCTCATCCTGGTTGACCTGTCAGGCAGAACCTTTATCTCTACTCCCTTAAATCTACAGGACATGGACTTATTGTGGATAATGGATTTAATTATTTGATCACCATCTCTGACTCAAACACAAAAAGAACTAGATGGTCCTGCTTTCATATGCCAAAGCTGCTCACTACTTCGACATTACGCTGGACTGCAGAAAGAACTTCCAGCTTCCCCTCTCCACAGCAAATCATTTTCTGACACCCTTCTTTCTTGTTTCTTCTTTCTTCACATGCAAATAAACAAAGGTCACAGATTTCTTGCTAGGATTGAGATCGTCCAATCAGCTTTCTCTCACACTCTGTTACAGTGACAAAGTAAAACTATCCGTCGTTCTCCTTCTCAAACTGCAATGTTCGATACAGTTGACCACGCCATTCTCCTGAAATGCATATCCACTGTTGTCAAGGTGGATGCAATTACACTTAACTGGTTCTATTATTAACTATCTAAACATTGCTGTAAAATTACCTTTCAATTGCTTATTCTTTTACTCCTGGACTATTACCACTGGTGTCCCCAATGGTGTGTCCTAGTACCTCTTGTATATCTCATGTATCTACTGGAGTAACATGTTTGGAAAGACAGCATTAGTTTTCACAACTAAACTGACATCACCATATTTACCATGCCACCATGTCAAAGAACTCCGCAGCTATTTCTATATTATCATTGCTCTTCTGATATTGAGGCCAGATGGGCAGAAAGTTCCCTCAAATAAGTATTAATAAGATGAAAGTCATTGGGCAGCATTTTCTCATGTTGAGTTAGAGTTAGTGTTTAGCCGAGTGGGATTCAGCTCAGAGCGATTTTTCTCATCCAGTCTTCTGCTCGTCATCTCATTTATTAGGTAACTGAGACCTTGGGCACCCTTCCCGTAGAATCATGTGGCCAGTGGGGTACAGGTTCACTCTTGCCTAGGCCTCCCGTTATTCTAGCACCTTGGTAAAGGCCCACCACCTCAGATGCTGTAAGCCAGGAACTAGCCCTCACACTCTGGTGCTCGACCTAATCACTGAGGCCTACAAGCAAGCCCTCTGCTCTGTCGACATCTCTGGACGTCGTTGTGGACAGAGTGGTGGAGAGGGGGGTGCAGTCCTTTCACCTGTGGAATACCACAGTAGAGTTCATAATCAGACCAAGCCTGCCCAGACACTAGTTTCAGCCCAGGTCAGCGCTGCATCTTCTCCCTGCTACCTCACAGTCACGAGCCACTCACTCACTCTAACACTGCCACTGCACACTCCTCTTACCAAGGCTTATGGACTACAGCTCTCACTATTGCATGTAACACACCCTCTCAGTGGTTCTCGTCCTCCTCGTCCCCTCAAAATACTAACCTTTCCTGCCCCCTGTGCTTCTGACTCCGTCAGTGGGGACACCACCACCTCTCTTGTTTTTACATGATTACTGACTGGTTCCTCCATTCAGTTCTACCACACTCAATCCCTCCTTTGTCTCATTGGAAGAAATATTGGCCCTCAGCACTTTGACTGTTACACCTGGAAATCCACAGGCTGTTTACATTTGACCTACAGCACTGGTGTTGGTCAAGTCCCCAGACTGCAAGGACATGGGTTCCCAGACTCTATTAGGGTCAAGTGCCTGAATCGCCACGGCCATATCCCTGGAATAGAATAAGGTGAGCCCCTCAACTGACTGTGGCAGCACTCAATGACTGACTGTAATCCCCCTTCACCCCACTAAGGGTTATTACTTTCTGATTGTCATGCATGCTTGTTTGGAATGCTTGCAGTATTTTCTGCATAGGCTGCCTTACAAGCTGCATTTGTAACATTGATGTACACAGAGCGACCTTCCCCCTTGAGTGAGTTCTGAAGAAGGATTACTGGATCTGAAACGTTAACTCTGATTTCTCTTCACAGACCTGCTGAGTTTCTCCGGCAATTTCTGTTTTTGATGCCTCCTTGACTGCTCTCCACTATGACAGGCCTCTCTGTCTGTGCTATAAAAGGCAATGGATGCTGCAGAGGCTGGGAAGCCATAACTAAGACCCTGAGTACTAAGAAAGCAATGTGATGCATACAGAATCTGGCAGCCTGTAATTTGGGGCTGAAGTCAGTAAGTGTGTGCTATGAAAGGAATGAGAAGTATACAGGGGCTGGCAGTCTCCAAGCAAGTGCAACATCAGTGAGCACTAAGAGATCAAGCTAGGAGCCATAAGATGCTTCCTCTGCAGATGGAAGAGACGTGTATACCTCTGCATGCAGGGTGATATGGCAGAAACATGCAAGACATAGTCATAGTCCCTAAACACCAAAGTTATGAAGGTCTGGTGGTGCAAGGGTTGGTCTGCGAGCAGGCATTATGACACAATGATTTGCCAATGAGGGGCTGAAGAGGATAGTGGCGATGGAGCATGCGGGGACATTGTTCTGAAAATAGAATTGTATCATGATCTGGACAAACATTCAGTGAGCAAATGAGCAGGCAGCAAGGTGGGAACGTAGAACCCTTATTGAATAATTGGGACCTGGCAGTCTAATATTAAATTTCAGGTTTTCCATTCCCATCCACCCACTAGCTTCAGGATAGATGACACTGTGGTGGCGTGTTACAACTTAGTCAGAATGTCCTGATTGCTGGATGTTGCAGTCTGCAGCTATAAATAGTGAGGGCAATGAAAAATATGGGCATTTTGATTTTAAATAATCACCTGTTGTTGACAGACCATGCTTAAAATGCTAATCAAATAAATATACATTTTTTCCCTTTATTTTGCAATTACAATTAAGTTTTAAGTGAATTATTTAAAAATGAAATGTCCTTTTTACATTAACACAATTACATTCATCAGTTCATTTATTTTTTTCATGTCCTTTAAAAGGTTAATCTTTGGATTTGTTTCAAGACTGCGTCTGCGGACAAAGATACTGTACCGTGGCTGTGTGATTTTTTTTTCACAATCCAGCTGTCAAGTTCAAACCCCAACGTGGCTTATACTGGAAACATTTGCATGAAAGCTGTGGAATTTTTCTAAAAACTGACACCCTTACCCAGCCCGGTCCATATGTAACTCTTAAGGGCTGCCTCACTAAAACCAGGGAAGGACAATAAACTTTGTGTTTCAGAGTCACACACATTCCAAACAAGAACAAAGTATAGTGAGGCCAAGCATTTTATTCTACAGCAATTGGAAAGAAGTTTAAGCTATCTTTGAGAGTTCTGAGTATTTGCAGTTTGCAATCTGAGTCTGCGGATTTTAAAGAATCCCCAAGCAGCACCACACGCATTAACTGGAGAATGAGTGGAAGGCTATGTTTTTTCATGTTGTGAGGACTTATAAGTTTCCATGAAGCTAAAGGTTGGATTTTCCAAAGATTATTTTCAGACTTCTGCTCCTTTTATGTACGTTTGGCAAGTTTAAAAAGGACTTATATTTATGAACAAATATTTTTAATTAAAATGATGTACCCAAATCAATACAATTTAAGCAGTTGAAAAATCTGATCTTAAATCATTTGTTGACAATTAAAGAAAGATTCAGATTATTTATAGAAACTGGATTACTTGCTGTTGTAAATTCAATTAAATAAATATATACAAAATGAACTCTTCAGCCCAGTATATCTGTTCTGGCTCTTTGAAAGCACTATTCAATGAATCCAATTCCCCTGTTCTTTCTCCATTGCACTGTTAACTTTTATTTTCAGTATCTATTTCTCTGTTGAAATGTATTCTTGAATCTGTACCCACCAGCTTTTAACATGTGGCATTCCAGATCTTTGCAACTCACTGTGTAAAACAAATGTTCTCAATTCTCTGCTAATTCACTTTTCTGTTGCCTTGAATCTATACCATCCAGTTACTGACAATTCTATTACTGGAAGCAGTTTCTGTCTTTTTAATAATTACAACAATTCATGGTTTTCAATACCTTAATTCTCATCTGTACCTTCTCAACTTCAAGGAGAACATCCAACTTCTTCTTTTCTCCACATAACTGAAATCTCTCATCATAACATTCTAGTAAATCTCTTCTTCACCCTCCCCTGAACCTTGACACCCTACTAGAAATGTGGGGCCAGCAACGGACAGTACAGCAGTACCTCCTCTTCTCAAGAGGTAGTGGGGCAGGTAGCAAGACAGTAAATAATCGGGTGAGTTGGTACCAGGGAGAAACCTGCTCCTTTCTGGCCACAAGAGAAAGTAACTTCTGTGCGGGAAGGCCCATGATCCGGCTTCACGACATGTCACCATTTAAGGTGAGTGACAGCCTTTCCAACTGGCAATGTTGTGGGAATCACCTTATGGGGAGGTGATAGCCTAATGGTATTATGGCTGGACTTTTAATCCAGAGAATCAGGTAATGTTCTGAGGACCTGGGTGCAAATCCCACTATGGTAGAAGGTGGAATTTGAATTCAATAAATAAAAATCTGGAATTAAGAGTCTAATGGTGACCATGAAACCATTGTCGACTGTCAGAAAATCCCATCTGGTTCACTAATGTCCTTTTGGGAAAGAAGCTGTCATCCCTGCCTGGTCTGGCCCATATCCAACTCCAGACCCACAGCAATGTGGTTGACCCTTAGCTGCCCCCCCGGGCAAATGGGGATGGGCAATAAATGCTGCCTAGCCAGCGATGTCCACATCCTGTGAATGAGTGAAAAAAACAAGGTTGGGTAGTAACGTTATGGTATTCTGGGGTGTGGGACCTGGTGGTATTGTGGGCTTTGGGACCTGAAGATATAGTGAGGTTGGAGCCTGGTGATTTAACTAACTCCACAGAGGCTTGTATCCCATCACCAAGTCACCCTTTATTTACACGTGCATAGTACTTGATACTGGCACTGCTTCCTCAGAGCCAGCTCTCAGAGTGAACAGAACCTCTGACATGCCTGTTTATATCTGTCAGCCAGGGCTCCCTGATTGGACCAGGGAATCAGGGAACTCCTATTCTATGAGGTCCACATAGCTGACCTCATTACAATCACTACAGTGGTGTTGTGGGATTTGGGGCCTGGTGATGTTGTGAGGAGAAAAGGCGAGTAGCGGAGCTTGAAACCAAACCAAGTAGAAGCATGGAATAGCATCTTTTGGTTAAGGTAGCTGTGGGGCCTCAACCATGGAGGGTCGTCAATCTGACACTGAGATTCAGAGGTATTCAGATAAAAGCATTTACCTTTTGAATCCACAAAGAGAAACTACCAGAACTTCCACGTTTGTGAAATTTTGAAAGCAGAAGGACAATGGGGTATGCAGTTGCAATTCACCTCCTTGGATTGGATTAGTCACCCAGCTCAATATGCGGCTTCATTTGAACCAGAGGTGGACAGATCAGAGACACGTTCGGGTTGGGAATCCTAAGTGTCCTAAACATGCCTGCCCTTATTGGTTAAAAATTCAGCCCAATGTCTGTGAAATTGTGTCCCACAGTGGGCAATTGGGATTTGCTATTCACATCTTTTCCTTTAATACCTCGATATATTGCACTGTAGTGTTACCTCTTACCTTGCTGAAGGGAATCACTGACAAAGAATGAAAGGATTAGACCAAAGACAGCCAGCAGGGGCATTGTGCGGTACATTTTCATTGTTGGGTTAAACCGTTGGCTGCACCACCTGGAATCAAAGAAAATTTTGGTCATATTTAAAAACCTTGCACAGGAAAAGGTTAAATAACAGGTTCACAGACAATCTTATGCTCAGCTTTAAAATTGACAATTTTATTTATTCAATCAATTAAGATTCCCACTGTTTTGAAATGAAGATTCAACCCATCATTTCAGACCCCAATTGGTTCTTTCCCAGCATCTGCAATACGCGACACTGTCTTGTCTGTCTTCCTTCCAAAAAACAGAAATCGTTTAGGAGCCAACTGGAACTTTGTGTCTCAAACCCTACACCCTCCAAAGGAGGCAGATAGCCCATAAAATAAGGCACCATGCCATTAATGGTTTGCTGGCCGCTGGGCTGCCCACCACTTGCTCAAATTTAATAGGATGGTGGGGACAGAGAGGACTGCATCCAACTTACACTTTAACAGGTTGCTCCTTCCAGAGCTGCAAGGAATTGGTTTATCCTTTTCTAGGACTCTTTACCCACCTGGCCAAGGTCTGCCTGAGATCTCCAAAGATCCATTGTTGAGCCCAGCCCAGCAGTAGGCACTGATCCTGGTCATGCTGCTGGTGATGCTGCCAGCATCTTATCTGCGGCTCTCTGAAGCATGACTTTCTCCTGAAGAGGGCGACAGTCTCACCTCATAACAACTAAAAACTGGCCAGGTGAAAAATTAAAGCTGGGAAGGTGGTCAGGAGATGATTCGGGCTCTGGGTTGATATACAATCATGTACAAATGTCTGTCTTAGTATGCCAAAGTCATGTGATCTCTCCCTTGAGGCACACACCCTGTAAACAGCCATCTTAAGCTTCACTTCAGTAAAGCCCTTGTATTAAACACAGTTCTGAGGAAGGGTCACTGCATCTGACACGTTAACCCTGGTTTCTCTCCACAGATGCTATCAGACCTGCTGAGGTTATTCAGCAATTTCTGTTTTTGTTTCTGATTGCCAGCATCTGCACTTCTTTCGGTTTTTATTTTGTTAAACACAGTGCTGCTCATTTCACTGAAAAAAAGTCTCGTTTCATAAGACCACAAGATATAGGAGCATAATTAGGCTATTTGGCCCATTGAGACTGATCTGCCATTCAATCCTGGCTGATATGCTTCTCAGCCTCATTCTCCTGCCTTCTCCCCTTAACCCTTGATCTCCTTACTAATGAAGAACCTACCTATCTCTGTCTTAAAGACACTCAATGATTTAACCTCAGTAACCTTCTGCAATATTAAGATCCACAGTTTCACCATGTTCTGGCTGAAGAAATCTTTCCTCACCTCATTTCTAAAGCGCCATCCCTTCTTTCTGAGGTTGTGTCTTTGGGTGCTAGTCTCTCCTATTCGTGGAAACATCTTCTCCACATCCACTCTATCCAGGCTGCTCAGTATTCTGCTCTCTGACTTTTGCCATTATGAGTAGCAGACATGCCCTCAGCGTTTAATTTAGCCCATTATTTTCTGATTAACTTACACTCTCAGAAACGTTTCAAGGTCAGTCGTGCATCAAAATACACACTGACCATTCACTTATATTAAGAGGTGATTGTAAATAATTGATCAAACTAGGTTTAATTTGATATTAGCAAAATGTCTATGATTGAAGGCATCTGCATGTTGAAATATTGTCGCAAGAACCCAACAATTCTTCCAAAGTTACTTGATCATACAATGTTAGCTACAACATATCATGCGATTAAACAGAACTGATTTATTCGTTCTACAGCAGAGATAATTGCAATCATAGCAAGAAAATCTTATCTTGACATCAGAAGAGATTGTATGGACGATCATGGGTCTGGTTTCTGGAATGACTTCCCCGAGTCTGGTTCTGCTACCGTATTCAGCAAATCCAATTTCTCTCTTGCATATTTTCTTATCAACTATAATGGCTCAGTCTGCTGCCTCATTGTTAATCATTCATGGGCAACATAAATCAGATTTAATTACAGCTCTTTCAAAGCAAGTTCTTGGTCCATTGTCAGTTGCTTTTCAGCAGATCCATGCAGTTATCCTTAATATTTGAATTTCTCTCCAACTCACATAAGTTCTTTTCTTACTCATCAATCAATATTAACGGAGTGAACATTAGTCCATGCATTTCCATAGATTATTTTTATACATGAGCAGCTGTGGTTTTTGTGTCGTACTGTTGTAATATAGGATAACAAAAGTGCACAGATAAGCATGGACATCCTGACATAGCTGAAAAAAATAGCCAAATAGGTACAACCAAGTCCATATTTGCTTTCAATAATAAAACATATAATTGAATGTCCTTCTTTGCTCATGAATGTCTTCTGGAAGCTTAAGTAAGTTGAAATGCAGCAGTTTGGTACAACATTTAGAAGGCACCTGGATGCGTACATGAGTAGAGGGTTTAGAGGGATGTGGACCAAATGCTGGCATATGCGACTAGATTAATTTAGGATATCTGATTAGCGTGGACGATTTGGACCGAAGGGTCTGTTTCTGTGCTGTACAACCCCATGACTCTATAACTGAGTGGCATTCTCAGTCATCTCAGAGGGCAATTAAGCATCAATGGGGTGGCATGGTGGCTTAGTGGTTAGCACTGCTGCCTCACGGTGCCAGCAACCCGGGTTTGATTCCAGCCTCAGGCAACTGCCTGTGTGGAGTTTGCACATTCTCCCTGTGCGTGCATGGGTTTCCTCCCACAGTCCAAAGATGTGCAGAGGAGGTGGATTGGCCATTTTGTATTGCCCACAGTGCCCAGGAATGTGTACATTAGGTGGGTTAGACATGGGAAAATGCAGGGGTAGGGAAATGGGTCAGGGTGGATGCTCTTCAGAGGGACGGTGTGGACTTGTTGGGCCAAATGGCTTGTTTCCACACAGTAGGGATTCTATGATTCCATGATATGACAGAAGCTCTAAGACACATGTCAGCCAGACTGTGTAAGGGGAATAAGTTCCCTTCCTCAAAGGCAAACTAGTGAACCAGATGTTTTTTTTATGACAATCCAGTGGTTTCACAATTACAATTACTGGGAGCACAGTTTTATTCCAAATTTATTAATTAATTGCATTTAAATTCCTCCTGCTGCTGTATTGGGATTTGAACTCATGATGTTAGAGCGTTAATCAAGGACTCTGGATTACTGTTCCAACAAGTTAACCATTATATCATCATTTCACTGACGGACATAAATTGGACACAGACATGTGCTGAACCTATGGAGATTATTTGAAGGTCACTGAATGTGCAGTGCCACCTTGTTCTGTACAACTTTATAAGTATAAATACCATCTTGACAATAATCGTAAATCAGGAGGTGGAAGGGAGAGAGGAACTTGGCAAAATTACAATCCTGTGGGAAATGGTACTGAGCAAAGCGGTAGTAGCTGTGTTGGTGTTAATATTTCAAAATTCCCAAGACTCAGGAAAGGTTCCACCAAACTGCAAAGTAGCACATATAACCCTTCTATTCAAGACAAAAGGGAGGCAGAAAACAAGAAACTATAGGTCAATTAGCTTGACGTCTGTTAGAGAACATAGAACATAGAACAGTACAGCACAGTACAGGCCCTTCGGCCCACGATGTTGTGCCGGCCTATTATCCTACCCTGCATTCCCTACATTTTACTATCCTCCATGTGCCTATCCAAGAGTCGCCTAAAAGTCTCTAAAGTATCTGACTCCACTACCACTGCCGACAGCACATTTCACACGCCCACCACTCTCTGTGTGAAGAACCTACCTCTGACATCTCCCCTAAACCTTCCTCTAATCACCTTAAAATTATGCCCCCTCGTAATAGTCATTTCTGCCCTGCGAAAAAGCCTTTGACTATCCACTCTATCTATGCCTCTCATCATCTTGAAAGCCTCTGTCAAGTCACCTCTCATCCTTCTTTGCTCCAATGAAAAAATCCCTAGCTCCCTCAACCTTTCCTCATAAGACTTGCCTCTAGTCCAGGCAGCATCCTGGTAAATCTCCTCTGCACCCTCTCTAAAGCTTCTACATCTTTCCTATAATGAGGTGACCAGAACTGAACACAGGATTCCAAGTGTGGTCTAACCAGAGTTTTATAGAGCTGCAGCATAATCTCACGGCTCTTAAACTCAAATCCCCTGCCAATGAAAGCCAATACACCATACGCCTTCTTTACAACCCTATCAACTTGGGTAGCAACTTTGAGGGATCTATGGACGTGGACCCCAAGATCTCTCTGTTCCTCCACGTTGCCAAGAATCCTGCCATTAACTCTGTATTCTGCATTCAAATTCGACCTTCCAAAATGAATCACTTCACACTTTTTTATGGGGAAGGTGTTAAAATTGATCATGAATGAGATTATAGTTGCACACGTGAAAAACATCTCAAGGCAATTAGGGGGAATGAGGGCAATCATTTTTAATGAATTTATTGGAATTCTTTAATGGAGTAACATGCACTGTGGATAAGGGGGAGTCTATAGACATTTTGTATTGGATTTCATTTGCATTTGATAAGATACCATATTAATATTTATTGTAGGAAATAGGATCTCATGGGATGGGGAAAACATATTGGCATGGATAGAAGATTGGCTGGCTGACAGAAGACAGAGAGTATACATAAATGAGCATTTGTCTGATTGGTAGGATGTGGAACAGTACCATAGGGGTCTGTGCTGAAGCCTTGACATGTTAAAATTCACAATGGCTTAGATAAAGGGAGTGAAGACATGGTAGCAACATTTGCAGAAGACACCAAGATAGTTAGGAGCATATGTTGTGAAGAAAACATAAGGATGTTGCAGACAGACATAGACAAGTTGAATGATTAAGCAGGGTATAATGTGTGTGTTATTGATTTTGGCAGGAAGAATAAGAAAAGATTATAGCTTAAATGGAAATTGACTACCGAATTCCACAGTATAGCGGGATTTAAATGTCTGGTTCATGAGCTGCAAAGTGTTAGGATAAAGGTACAGCACATAATCAAGAAGGTTAATGCAATGGTCTCCTTAATTATGAGGAGAACTGAACATAAAAATAAGAAT